TATGCTCCATAAGGAGCAAAGAGGACTAAGTCAAGTCAAGTCAAGCACTCATGTACCCGCTGGTGTAGTGACTTATTTTCTTTATTCTACAAATAAGTCGAATAAACGTTGTTTTGTACAAAGTAAAATTTGATATCGAATTCTATATAAGGGGATGCGCGTAAAAGTAATGAATGGGAAAAGATTCGTTGACGCGCTTGAATAATTATATTAGAGTACAGTAAATCAAAATAATTCACGATAGGTAGAAACTAACCACGTGGGCTAAGTAACCATCTTGTTTTTATTGTCTGTCTATTGTTTACTTTATTTGCAATACATATAATCAGAGTTTCTTCCAGGCATCTCTTCGGGGGGGCTTTGCCCCCCCGAAAAATTTTTACCGCCCCCCCGAACGAAATGAAATTTATATAATTTATATAGAAAATATATACTTTTAACAGTGTCCGCCCCCCCGAAGAAAGTTTACCGCCCCCCCGAAGATTTCAAGTGCCCCCCCCCGGAGAAAAAAGTCTGGAAGAAACACTGCATATAATCGTTTGTTTTTTTGCTGTTTTAATATTATACAACAACATTTAGGTTAATATTTAAAACTTTGCCAAGAAATGTACTGCGATTTGTCATTGTAACACTACTAAACAATGTTTAGTACATTTTATACTAAGCTGAAATAATGCGTCATGGACATGTCTGTCAGTTTTAAGAATGCACCAAGTCCATCCACTTCTTTCCATCCTCGCTATTCAACCAACGGCCTATTTAAGATTTTCTTACATCACCATGTTATAGGCTTGAACGCGTTCTGACTGTAAACGACACATGTGTTAATGTGTATGCCCATCCCTCCATGTAGGATTTACTGGCAACCAATTTAAATACTAGATGGGATAGCTGATACGCATTCACTGTATAGAAACATAGTGCTTGTCTCTATCTACAGAGATGTGTTATTCACGGTTGAATAAACATTGGTAATCTATAGCTCATCAGACATGCACGCACTATCCAGCGGTGGGGAGGGGGGAGGCGTTGCCTAGCCTCAAGCGCTGTATCTAGGAATGTTGTAGTTGGCTATTACCAAGAGGCAAAAAAATTGTGCAAGCTACAATTTAAGTAGACATTGTATTGTAGTGAGAAAACAAGCTAACAAACGAACTTAATCTGCTTTTTTAAATATTTGTTTTGAGAATAACACTCGATTATTAGGATATGTAATACTTAATAATTATAAATTCATTACCTGTAGTATACATATTTTCTGCTTACATATGAAAATCTATCTAAAGCTTACAACATAAGTCAACACGTATTTTATTAGCCAAATGGCTCTTTTACACATAACAAGACTCGTTTTTCTGTTTTTCAGTGCCTTTTTCCAACCTTCTTTTCACGTTTTCTCAACTTTGCATTTTTCCTCAAAATTTAACATTCAAATCGCTAAGGCTTTAGAACCCTTTATCATATACGACAGAAACTTTCCACGTACATTAAACATTATACTGTCAACAATACTACGTTTGTACATTAAGTTTATTGCAATAATTTAGGAAATTTTGATATTTATGTAGCACAACCCCCTAATTTTTTGTACATAGTTTTCTGTAAACAATTGTATTCAAAATTGATTACGAGCTATCGCAATGAATAAACGTAGAAATATATAGTTTGGTTTGAGAAAACTATATGTGTCATCAGATTTTTAAAATCTCTTTAAGGAACAATGTTATAGAGGTTTCAAAAGGTGTTAGTTTACACCTTTTCGTGGCTACCATGGCAACCAGTACTGGTATTGGCGGCTATATGTTATTTAATTTTTGTCTATTGGTTAACAACTTTTAACAAATGAATCTATTAAACATACTAAAACATGTTACATTTTTAAAAATTCTATCCGTGGTGTCATCCTTAAGTTGAGAATGACATGAGGTTGGCGTTAAAAAAAAAACTCAACCGCGAATGTTAAAAACATGTAATTGCACTCATCGTATTAAAACAGTTATCAATAATAATTGATATTGAAAGTCTACAAGAAAATCTTTTTTAGGTGTTTATTAATGTCCTTACTAATTTCGACTTTTTAATTCTATGGGGGTCGCGAGTCACTTACATTTTATATAAGGGGGTCGCCACTGTTCTAAACAGTGCGTTAGGCAAAGGATAAGATGGGGCGCTATAGTCGCTTACTAAATTTAATCAGGTGCATTATCCGGCTCTCCGACAGGGTACTAATTGGCGCCCCGGGCTTTCCCATGAGCGCCATTGAATCTACGTTAGTTTTAAGGAGTATCGTATAATATTGACTAGGCGGCACACTACCATCGATGATTAAACCGAGCCAGGGGCCATACGCGGCGCCCCTGCGGTAATCGGTGGCTCACGAGAGCGCCCCAAAACGTCCCCGACACGCTGGCGGTGAGTGATTAACGGTGATATTAGTATTAGTGATTAGCGTACACTCAAGGCTTTCTTACAGCGGTAGTGTAGATAAATCCGTGTCCAAATAAATATGATCTAATCACAGGCATTTTTTACATTTAAATAACTCAGTTTTAGAAAACAAGGTCACGCGTCTAAGAATATGGGATTGGTAAAGCATTGATGAAACCCTAGAATATATTTCGTCAGACTTTATTTGTATTTTATGCATTACTACATATTTCATCCGATCGCCATTAAACTTTGGAAAGCCGTTATGATTACTGCTATGGAGATTTGCGCTAAACATAAAAACTAATAAGACAGGTGACTTCCCGGCTGAATGCAATTCGGCGCCCATGGCTCCAGTGGCGTGCAGACCTATGTAGATGCCCGGGGTCAAATCAAAAGGGAGATGCTCCCATAAATACAAACATACATACATACACACATATATATATATATATATATATATATATATATATATATATATATATATATATATATATATATATATATATATATATATATATATATATATCTTTATATATATATAACTTAATTACAAAAAAAAATATGTTGTGCTGAAAGTTAATACACACGGAAAAGCATTTCTTTTAAAAATTTTACTTATCTTAATCAAGATGAAAACGTCGATTACTGCTAAATCCCAATGAATGAATGTATGGAACTTCGGGGCGGGGAGGCAATTGGGGGACATGTCGGGGCGGGGTCTGTGATGCACCACAAAAGCGTCTCATCCGGTATTGTATTACCGCCCGGGACCGTGGTGACAAAAACTTTGTTCGTGTCTACAATTAGGGCGTCAGACACGCCTTTATTTATGGCCTGATTCTCTCTTGGCCTGTTTGAGAATTCCTATAGTGTAACTAATACAGGTGAGAGTGTGCATTAAACTAGAGATGCTTTACATTTTTTTTCTCTAAACCACTTGGTCAAAACCTCAACCCTTGAAAGAGATGGGTGATGCTAGATTCAAACTATCTGAGCCTTGAATATAGCAGAAGTGAACCTTGGTTGTCTAAAGCTGCCAGACCTACCATACCTTAATACTTTAAAAAAAAACACTTCTACGTCGGACTGTGTTTAAAAATCCACTGTGCTATGTCAGACCCTCCCTACAGCTTGGACGTGTTTTCCCAAATTTAACACCCAGGTAACGCATGTCTAGTTCAGGTGGGGGATAATCCACTAACGGCATCCATGGCATAAAAACCCACACCGCATCCCCACATTTCACTACATCAATAAAAGTGGAATAAAAGTGGCTCTGTATGTGCCCCCAATTACTTTAAAGAAAGCTCTACTCAGAATTAAAAATACAGTGTATCAAAAACAATATGGGCATTCTTAAGTATGCTCATACAATGCATGAAAACGAATCTATTCTAAAGGATGCCCCTACATGGGCGTAATTACACTACAAATATATATTTCACCATAGATGCCCCACAAATTTATAATAATAATATGGGCATAATTACCCTTTGGATGCCCATAAAATGTATCATAATGAACATGTAAATAAAAAAAAATCTTTAGAGATGCCCCCAATGTTAACAACGATGATTGGTGTGATTACTGTTGCATGTCCTTCGAGTGTGTTACATGAATATAGGCATAATTACTTTCAATATGCATCTAAAATATATAAAATATATTATAAAGTGAAGTGGGCATATTACTAGATGCTCATAAAATATATTATATTGAATATACGAATGATTACTTTAAAGATGCCCCTACATGGTATAAAAATAAATATGATATAATTACTCTACGGATGTCCTTGAAAATGAGTATAACGAATACGTGTATATTACTTTAAAGATGCCCCTACGGTGCATGGTAATAATTTGGTCACAAGAACTCTAAAAGATGCCCCTACACTATACTAAATAAATATCACACACATTTATTGTTGGAATATCAATGACTGCCATTGGACTACCCTTCATTGCTGCCCGCTTTTTCTTTATAAGTTTCGCCATACGGACAGTGAGTGTAATGTCAAAACGAATGACAGACGATTGAGTGTCAATTTTTTTTGGGGTGAGATCGGCAGATATATGGAAAGATACGATGAGACCATGACACGACATATCGCTACTTTTTTAAAATTATATATATATATATATATATATATATATATATATATATATATATATATATATATATATATATATATATATATATATATATATATATATATATATTCCACCCCCACTGGATGCCTCCCGGTGGTGGATGCCCGGGGACTAGGCCCCGTCCGCCCTCCCTCTGCACGCCACTGTATGGCTCTCTTTGAGTGGGATAGCGCCTATGCTCGTTTTAAAATGTGCAATAGACAACGGAAAAAATAAGACTTTATAGTCGTTCAATAAACTAAATCAGACGCGTTCTCTGACGCCCCTGGAGGGTAAGATTTTCCCCGGGCTATCCTCGGACTTTCTTCTAGCCCCGTGGGGACGATATATATATATATATATATATATATATATATATATATATATATATATATATATATATCACCAGATAGCGATGACAGTTTAGAACAACTAAAGAAACAAGTGAAGGTTCTAATTTGGGTTATGACGTCACCGCAGAATCTTAACACCAAGGCTCAAGCCGTCAAAGAAACTTGGGCGACTCGTGCTGAAAAGGTTCTTTTTATGAGGTAAGGACAAAATCCCAATATATAAAAGGCCATGTGCGCACTTCTGTCTCTCTCTCTCTCTGTCCGCGAAGTATGTTCAAAGTATAATATCAGTATCTTCAGAAATATATGGAGAACTTGATACGGACTCTTGTGGGAAATAATATGTTGAATGTTTTAAATGTATAAAATAAATTTTATTTATAGAAGAAAAATAAAAATAAAGTCATATTCGAAAGTAGAAATACCATTTTAATTATACAACCGGAAAAGTGTTTATAGTTGTGACAAGAGCGCTTTAAACAATAACGTCACATGCCACATGTTTACACTTTGGAAAGAACACAACACTAATGACGTCATCTTCCGATTTTAGAATATAAAGAAAGGAATTATTTCATTCCAATTTGATTTAGATCTAGATCTAGATCTATAGATCTACTTATCAATGCGTGCGCAAAGAAATATAAACGTTTCTCGGTCAAACTAATACAAATTACTTTAAAAAAAACATATTGACCATTGAATAGCCGGGCTTTTAGCGAAATCTTAAGTCTCTTAATCAGTGTGTGTATTTAATATGGTGGTCTGTTGACTTATAATGTATATAATTTGGTTTTAATTTTTCTAATTGGTATTGGTAGCCTGTTATTTTAAATGTGTCGGATTTTTAGTTATTTAGTTATTTCTTTGCATGGTCACTAATATTGATCAACGTGTAGTAAAGCACATTGCGTTTTGACCAACAACTATTTTATAAAATACGAGCCGACCCGCGGCATATCATACGCCGCTATTTAGTTGTTTTATTTTCTACTTTTCAGTAATTCATAATTTGTGAATTCGACAGTACCAATGCTGCCACTGAAAACATTTGCTTTAAAACACTATCAGTAGCTCGTTAAGGACGATAACCCCCCCACACTCCTTTCCCCTACCCCTCCCCCCCCTGCTAAATTAAACTCCTCTTAGTTACCTCCCCTAAGTTTAAAATCGTTTCAAACTAAATTATCTGCCCCTAATAGCTGTCACTAAACCCGGCTCTACGATTGTAAAAATTTAACGTGAACCACAGCTCACCAGACCATGTGGTGGGGGGTGGTAGGGAGCGCGCTTACAGCTTGTTTTCTATCGTCTCCAAGAAGAGAATTATATATATATATATATATATATATATATATATATATATATATATATATTTTATTTTTTTTTCCTCAAACACGTATAACATTAAAATATATAGGCCTATAATTCACGTGTAACGGGTAGCGACGGCTAGTAGTTTTATAATAGAATTGAGACTTTCGTAAGGACAAAAATAGTTTTATAATTGAAGTGAGACTTCGGTAAGGACAAAGTAGTTTAATAATTGGAGTGAGCCTCAACACATGAGTATCAAGTCAACTATCGTTTTTACCTTGTAATGGTCTACTAGGCAAGTGAAATCGAGTTACTGTGCCTTCGGCATATGAAGGAATAATGTGGTCAGCTATATGTCCAGCCGCGTTTACTTTTCCTAACGTGAGTTTAGTACCCTTTAGCGTTGGGTGGACTCAGGGACAGTCTACCGACTTGAACCCGATTTGAACTCGAGACTTACGGGTTAGCAGTCGAGCTCTCTGCCGCTAGACAATTCCGTCCCATCTGTCGCAGACTGTATAATTAGGTATGTTTATATTATATTGTGTTTTACATGAAGTTGCATGAATGAAGAGTACCTGGCTAGCGGAAGGACTGTCTGAGCGACTCGTCATGTATTTTCCCATGCTTTTGGGTGAGATCGCTCATGTACGTAAGGGGAGAGAATGGACCGTATAAAAGGTAGAGCGAAAGGTGAACGGGGGTGCTTGCGCTTGGACTGTGACTGTGAATGTAGGATGTCACTACGTCACTTTGATTCGTGACTGTGATTGTACTTATACCAAATTATACTAGTTGTTTATCTATGGATTTACTAATACTATGGATTCATCATTTCACTGTAGTGTATAAAGTGTAAATAAAGTTATAGTTTCACAACTACTGTTGCTCGTGTGAGTATATTGAAGAACCCACAATAACAACAATGAAGTTCATGTTGTTACACCATCTACAGCCCCTTACCAGATTAATATTATAATCCATGTTAAAACTCCCAGAATAACTTAATATCATAATCTGTTCCAGCTCTTAAACCAGCTTAAAATTATAATCCATAATACAGCTCCAAGACCAGCTTAATATTATCATCCTTAAAACAACTCCTAAACCAGCTTAATATTATAATCCTTGTAACAACTCCCAGATTAACTTAATATTATAAACTGTTCCAGCTCTTAAACCAGCCGTAATATTATAATCCATGAAAGAGTTCCCAGACCAACTTAATATTATAATCCTTATTACAGCTCTCAGACCAACTCCAGTTTTCCAGCTGTAGGTTTGAATGTCAGTGAGGGGAGAGAACACCTCACAGTTAAAACAATGAAAGCTTTTGCCTACGTCTATCAGAATTACTTTCACTACTATGATTGGTTTATGAAGGTATGAAAAGTGCCATTAGATTTTAAACTATATACGGGCATTATGTTGCATCACTTTGTGTTTTATCCATAATTAAGTATTTTAACTATAGTTAATGAAGTAGCTTTCCCCATGACAATGATAAATGTAATGTTGTTAATTATAATTAGCTCTCAATTACATGTTCATTAGATATCCTTTTAGCTGGAACAACTTTTGCGTAATTTTTTTTTAAACAGATTATGAATCACCATCAAAATACACATTTGCATTTTTAGGCGTAACAATTAAATTGTAATTAGACGTTTTGTATTATGAATAAGTAAACCATCTTAAATGAATGAAACTACATGTCAGAAAGGAGTAATACTATTGTAAATCGGTATCACTCCTCACCGATGGTGAAAACTGAAACTGAAGCGAACATAGCAAGGCAAACTGACGCTGTAAATTACATGTCTGAGACAAAAAAAAGTGCTCTGTTCTAAGAAGAAGTGATCTTAACTCGAGACAGGTACACATTATAGCTGGGTTGACTCAGAAGCATCGAACTCGAGACTTATGGAATAGCAGTCATACTTCTGCCATGCCCAAAATCTGTTGTTTGTCACATTTTAAGCTCATTTTGTTGGAATATCAATTTTTATGTAAATTTTGAATGATACTCAATTTCAACATGTAGGCCTATATCTAAATAAATTGTGCACACTGAATACCAGAATTTTGCCACCTGATCTATAAAAAAAAGAATTTGACACGTTTTTCTTGTACAGGTGGATGATGACACGTTCGTCATAGTAGAAAACTTGCTACACTTCCTGTCAGACAAGAACCAATCAGAACCGGTATATTTTGGGCAGACGTTCAAACTTTTTGTGAAACAAGGATACAATAGGTAGTTTAAAAAGTCTTATCTGTCACATATTAGGATTAAAAAACATTAGATAACTACTGTTGTGTACTGCGTCATTTTGTGTTAGATTGCTAACCAGCATCTACCGGGTAATTTCTTCCTCGTTTTTTATTTTCATGAAATGGGGGGGATTTCCTGCAACACAATTATGTGTTAAGTGAAAACATGTTGTGTACCTTATGTTTCGTTGAATACGACTTCACCTTGTTTTTACTTTCTCGTATATACGAAGTATAGAGAAAGTCTTTTAATCGTGCAAAAAAAATATAATCGAGATTTTTGAAAATCTCGACGCTTTACAGCTCCCTGAGTCGGAAAAGCATAGTTTTCCAATCTTGCCCGTATGTCTGTCTGTGCGTGTGTCTGTGTGTGTGTGTGTCTGTAAACACAATAACTTGAGTACCGTTACAGCTAGGTTGATGAAATTTTATATATAAGTATTATATCAAAATCGTAGATTCGTTTCAACTTTTGAGCTATTTCCGATAACCGGAAATGGAGCTTTTTCTACTTGAGTACTATTTCAGTTAGATAATTGAAATTTCATATGTAAAAAAAAAGATCTAATTCTCTACCTTCTCTCAAATTTTGAGTAATTTCCGTTGACCGGAAATAGTAATTTTCGCTTTTTCCGATTTCTCAAAAAACGCATGTGAATTTATAGAGTACTAATAATATTCCGCACTATTATGCACATTTTATTTGGCGTTTACTTGGTGTGCCATTCTTTTTTTCTACGAGATTTTATTCTATTTTTGAAAGTTTAAGTATTTAAAATGGATTAAAAATCATGTCTATATCCCGAGGTGCCACCCCTTGTTGTTTCATATAAGAATATTCGAGAAAGTTTAGATCACTCCCGGTTAATTTTTTATGGATTTGCTTCCGTTGCCTTTGTCATCCAAGAATAAACAACAAGGCAAGAATCGTTTGATTTTGGAGTTATCTCTGCTAGATGAGTTGCTGGCCCTAACTAACGAGACTTATCTGCGTAGGGTGCGAACTCGAAACTTTCAGAGTTAGCAGTCAAGCGTCCACCTGCCCAACCACGCGTCACCTTGCCGGGTTTCACGTCGTACAAAGCCTCCCAGTCTACCTGGGACATAAGAGAATAGAGTCGTATCTCTAGTGATATGTATAAGAGCATACACACACTGTATTTTTACTCTCTCATACCGGCAATATTTTTACATTTCGCATGAATCCTAGACTAAAGTTCCCCTTACAAACCTGACGGTCTATGGTACAAGTGAAGTAGAGTTCACCTGTGTCTGTGACCTCAGTTTGTGAAGGGATATGTGTGGTTATCCCTATGTCCAGCCGCCTGTACTTTCTCTAACGTGAGTTAGATTCCCCTCAGAGCTGGGTGGACTCAGGGACGGTCTTATGACTTGAATCCGGATTTGAACTCGAAACTTACGGGTTAGCACCCTAGCTCTCTACCGCCACTTCGAGCTAGAAGTCTCACACATCTACTAAAAAAGCTGGAGATACAACGCGTACTTTATGTTTGTATGTCGTGTTGTGATATTTGTCTTCATCTCCCAGCGGCGGCGCCGGCTATGTACTGAGCAAGGAGGCGCTGAGAAGACTGTGCGAGAGGGACGACGCTCAGAGGTGTATCAAAACAAACACCGACGAAGACGTGGAGATGGGCAGGTGTCTTGAAAGTCTAGACGTGAGAATCGGCGAGAGTCTCGACCAGTTCGGGAAAACCCGCTTTCATGGCTTCCCGCTACAAACTGTAATGGATAGCCACTGCGACACGGGATATGAAAGCTATGACTATTATAACTGCACTAATAAGGTACGTTTCTTGTTTCGCTATTGATTAACCATAGCCAATGTTTTTTAATGATTTCTGATATTTTTCATACCATTTTTTAGTTCAGTTTTTTAAGGTATTTTATCGATTTTTTGGATTAAAGATTTTTATTACCCCTCAAATATCCCTCTTTACACAAAAAATCTACACCGATATGCTCAGTGTTTCTTCCAGACTTTTTTCTCCTGATGGAGGGGGCACTTGATATTTTTGGGGTGGGGGCAGACTTAATTTTTCCGGGCGGGGGGGGGGGAGGGGCGGTAGACTTTCTTTGGGGGGTGTAGAGGGGCCGGAAGATGCCTGGAAGAAACTCTGTCCCCTAGTTACACACTCACGGTCATCTACTTACACACACACACACTCACACACACACCCTTAACCCTCGTATAAATGTCACTAGTTACTCTAGTTGAATTATCCCAACCTTAAGTGTCCGTGTGTTTACAGGGATGGCGATGGTTGAGTGACTACGCCGTCAAGTTTCACTACATCTCACCAATCAACATGTTTCAACTGGACTATTTCATCTACCGCTTGAGGCCGTTTGGTTTCTTCAATCGCTTAGTTGTCTAGCTCCAACTGTCACGTTATCAAATTTGGACAAGTGAACTCATGTATTTGATCCAAGCAACAGATATTCTGTTTAGTACAAACATTTTCAAATGGGGTACGGCTAAACGACATTAGGATGTATCCATGATTCTAGTTTTATTTACCATACTTCTTGTGCTTTATTGCATTATTATCATATATGTATATATGACCACACACACACACACATATATATATATATATATATCGGGTCCACCAGCAATATGGAGATGCAACATCCGGATCCTCTAAAATTGGGGCCTGGGCTTTGTGCTTTTAGACTATGGAGCAATATATATATATATATATATATATATATATATATATATATATATATATATATATATATATATATAACATATTGTCATTCAAACAGATTTGGACAAGTATGTGAAGTAAGGTTTGTTAGATGCGACAGTTCTTGCATTGAATGTCTACGAGAGTAAATGGTGTGTAGATCTAGCATTTTGTTAAACTTTTATTTTTCAATCTGATAGTCACTGATTGAAGTAGAGGAGTTAACCCTAACGGCATCTGGTGGTTGAGATTCTGACTGCAAAAAATGCAACAAAATTATGGAGGAGATGTGTTTAAAAATATGTCTGTGTGTGTATGTGTGTGTATGTATGTCTGAAAATGTGTGTCTGTGAATGTGTATGCGTGTGTGCGCGTATGTTTGTGTACGTGCTTGTGTGTGAGTGTGTGTGTGTGTGTTAATGGGTGACAAAAACTGCTATACTAATTCCTCTGCATATTATTTTAGTATTCGCTCCGTTGATAGCAGATATTGGTATTTCCGTGTGCCGGAAATAAATTACGATTTCAACTTTGGAAATTCGAGCTTCCAGTAAGGTTTATTTTAAGGAATTTATAGGCCGTGCAGAAACCATTGGGCGAAAATGATTTTTAATATTTAATTTATTTGTATATTTTTTATATCTTAATATGTAATATACGCAAAAGTTCGTGATCGCAAATTTTTGTAAGTGCACTAAAAATAATAAAATAAAATGAAATTTAAAACTATTTTCTTTAAGAATGAAAAGCATTTTAAAATTTTAAAACTACAATAAACTGATCGCTATAATGTGTATCGGAAAAGTTTGGAAAATGGTAGGCGCCTTTCTAAAGCTTAATCATGATATTTATAGCACTTCAAGGGATTATAGGGAATAAGTTATATAGTATAATTATATAAAAATTAACTGGTACCCAAAAAGCTATTAAAAGTGGTTAGTATTATTATTTATAAGCAATTTAATACCCTTACTAATTTTTTAGCAGCGACGCAAGGTTTTATGTTATAATTATAAAAAATAGTTATACATTTTACTATTAAAGGATAATTTATTTATTTTTTTTTAAATTTTAGTGACCGAATAAAAGTTGGCGAACAAAAACACAGGAATCGATTTTTCCGTATTATATGCATTTCAAACATACTATGTTGTCCTTTTTTATGAATTTACACATTACCTACCACTACACACTTCAACATCCCCCCCCCCCCAGGCCCTCGCTTGACGTAACGGTTTTGTTTCCCTAAGTCCTACACCAGAATCCTTTCAGTCCCAGCTTTTGTCAATAGGCCAGGTCAAACTGTTCTTGCAGAAATCGGACAAAAGCTCTACTGTGTTGTTAATGGCATTTTAAAAAGGGAGATTAATCTCGTAGCCTGCTTGATGTAGTCAGATGAATGCCCAGCGACACGTATATACGTGTGGTTGATAAAAAAATATTGAGTTCAGATTTTATAAGCGTTCAATCAAGATCAATGTTTCAACGCATGTTTACCTGTTAAACATGTATTTTAACAATCGCCACAACTGTAGCAAAATACACTTTATCAAAATAAACTTGGCAACACTTTGCTGTAGGTTTCGACCTTTAAGGTGGGAGGTTTAAATCAAATGTCAACAGACTGCTAATATAAAACTAAAATTTTAGTCTAGAACTTTCTGAACTTGCGTCGTTGATGTTTCAGAGTACGTTCCCTTGTAAAAAATGTTTTGTCTTTTAGCTCTATCAGGTAAGATTTTTTCGATATTGAAAAAAATGTATCAATATTTTCATTATTTTTTAATATTGTCTTTATTGATTTATACTATTTATAATATTATAATTATTATGGTTAGTCAAAAGTACATTGGAAGTGTATTTAGAACATTTTATTATTATTATTATTATTATTATTATTATTATTATTATTATTATTATTATTATTATTATTATTATTATTATTATTATTAATATTATTATTATTATTATTATTATTGTTATTATTATTATTATTATTATTATTATTATATGATTATTATTTTAAGTTGCTTGCAATATTATGATTATCTTTCAGCTATTATGATAGCAGTAGTATTACAAAGATCCATTTGACGTATTAGGTATCAATTTAGTTAATATAGAATTTTATCAGAAAAAATATCTAGTTTAATATAATTAATAACGCGAAGAAGAAACATTCAATAAATAAAATGAAATTATGTCTAATTTTATTTTGGAAATTATTTTTATGGTGGGGGTGGGATCAGTGGATCACGCCCCCCCCCCCCCCCCCGATGTAAATTGTATCATATAGGCTACATGCCCCTGTGAAATGGCCGAAATGCCTTCCCGTACTGTGTAGTTTTTCACTGTTCCAGTCTTGATGTCCAGCCTGTCCTGTACCGTGTAGTTTTTCAATGTTCCAGTCTTGATGTCCAGCCTGCCCTGTACCGTGTAGTTTTTCACTGTTCCAGTCTTGATGTCCAGCCTGCCGTGTAGTTTTTCACTGTTCCAGTCTTGATGTCCAGCCTGCCCTGTACCGTGTAGTTTTTCAATGTTCCAGTCTTGGTGTCCAGCCTGCCCTGTACCGTGTAGTTTTTCAATGTTCCAGTCTTGGTGTCCAGCCTGTCCTGTACCGTGTAGTTTTTCAATGTTCCAGTCTTGGTGTCCAGCCTGCCCTGTACCGTGTAGTTTTTCACTGTTCCAGTCTTGATGTCCAGCCTGCCCTGTACCGTGTAGTTTTTCAATGTCCAGCCTGCCCTGTACCGTGTAGTTTTTCAATGTCCAGCCTGCCCTGTACCGTGTAGTTTTTCAATGTCCAGCCTGCCCTGTACCGTGTAGTTTTTCAATGTTCCAGTCTTGGTGTCCAGCCTGCCCTGTACCGTGTAGTTTTTCAATGTCCAGCCTGCCCTGTACCGTGTAGTTTTTCACTGTTCCAGTCTTGATGTCCAGCCTGCCCTGTACCGTGTAGTTTTTCAATGTCCAGCCTGCCCTGTACCGTGTAGTTTTTCAATGTTCCAGTCTTGGTGTCCAGCCTGCCCTGTACCGTGTAGTTTTTCAATGTCCAGCCTGTCCTGTACCGTGTAGTTTTTCAATGTTCCAGTCTTGATGTCCAGCCTGCCCTGTACCGTGTAGTTTTTCAATGTCCAGCCTGCCCTGTACCGTGTAGTTTTTCAATGTCCAGCCTGCCCTGTACCGTGTAGTTTTTCACTGTTCCAGTCTTGATGTCCAGCCTGCCCTGTACCGTGTAGTTTTTCAATGTTCCAGTCTTGGTGTCCATCCTGCCCTGTACCGTGTAGTTTTTCACTGTTCCAGTCTTGTCCAGCCTGCCCTGTACCGTGTAGTTTTTCAATGTTCCAGTCTTGGTGTCCAGCCTGTCCTGTACCGTGTAGTTTTTCAATGTTCCAGTCTTGGTGTCCAGCCTGCCCTGTACCGTGTAGTTTTTCACTGTTCCAGTCTTGTCCAGCCTGCCCTGTACCGTGTAGTTTTTCAATGTCTAGCCTGCCCTGTACCGTGTAGTTTTTCAATGTTCCAGTCTTGGTGTCCACCTGCCCTGTACCGTGTAGTTTTTCAATGTTCAGCCTGCCCTGTACCGTGTAGTTTTTCACTGTTCCAGTCTTGTCCAGCCTGCCCTGTACCGTGTAGTTTTTCAATGTTCCAGTCTTGGTGTCCAGCCTGCCCTGTACCGTGTAGTTTTTCAATGTCCAGCCTGCCCTGTACCGTGTAGTTTTTCACTGTTCCAGTCTTGGTGTCCAGCCTGCCCTGTACCGTGTAGTTTTTCAATGTTCCAGTCTTGATGTCCAGTCTGCCCTGTACCGTGTAGTTTTTCACTGTTCCAGTCTTGGTGTCCAGCCTGTCCTGTACCGTGTAGTTTTTCACTGTTCCAGTCTTGATGTCCAGCCTGCCGTGTAGTTTTTCAATGTTTCAGTCTTGGTGTCCAGCCTGCCCTGTACCGTGTAGTTTTTCAATGTTCCAGTCTTGGTGTCCAGCCTGCCCTGTACCGTGTAGTTTTTCAATGTTCCAGTCTTGGTGTCCAGCCTGCCCTGTACCGTGTAGTTTTTCACTGTTCCAGTCTTGGTGTCCAGCCTGCCCTGTACCGTGTAGTTTTTCAATGTTCCAGTCTTGGTGTCCAGCCTGCCCTGTACCGTGTAGTTTTTCAATGTCCAGCCTGTCCTGTACCGTGTAGTTTTTCAATGTTCCAGTCTTGATGTCCAGCCTGCCCTGTACCGTGTAGTTTTTCAATGTCCAGCCTGCCCTGTACCGTGTAGTTTTTCAATGTCCAGCCTGCCCTGTACCGTGTAGTTTTTCAATGTCCAGCCTGCCCTGTACCGTGTAGTTTTTCAATGTTCCAGTCTTGGTGTCCACCTGCCCTGTACCGTGTAGTTTTTCAATGTCCAGCCTGCCCTGTACCGTGTAGTTTTTCACTGTTCCAGTCTTGTCCAGCCTGCCCTGTACCGTGTAGTTTTTCAATGTTCCAGTCTTGGTGTCCAGCCTGCCCTGTACCGTGTAGTTTTTCAATGTCCAGCCTGCCCTGTACCGTGTAGTTTTTCACTGTTCCAGTCGTGGTGTCCAGCCTGCCCTGTACCGTGTAGTTTTTCACTGTTCCAGTCTTGGTGTCCAGCCTGCCCTGTACCGTGTAGTTTTTCACTGTTCCAGTCTTGATGTCCAGCCTGCCGTGTAGTTTTTCAATGTTCCAGTCTTGG